GGTGGTGGTGGTAGTGGTAGTAGCAATGCCAGAAGTAGTAGAGTAGTAGTAGTAGTAGTAGTAGTAGTAGTAGTAGCAGGAGTAGTAGTAGTAGTAGTAGTAGTAGTAGTAGTGGTAGTAGTAGTAGTAGTAGTAGTAGCAGCAGTTATTATTACTAGTAGTGGTGCCCCTTTGACGCTATAACCTCTCGCAAGTCACACCCGCAAGCCCGGTTTGGGAAGACATTCTTCGACCATCTTCACTAACTCACAATCTCCTTCGATGTTCCGATGCTTGTAGGGGCAGCATGTGAGCGCTGCGAGGTCGAAAGCATGACTTTGAGCAGACACTGCACCGTTGTTGGCTGGATATCGGCATGCTTTTGAGCCGCAACCACCCCGCCCCATCCAGTATGTTGCAAGCACCAGCACCAACAAGAACAACCAAAGACCCCTTACTCCGTCGGCTATGGCTACCGCTACTGCTACCTCTACTGCTCCTGCTGCTGCTACTACTCCTGCTGTTGCTAGTGCCCTGTCAGCTATAGGTTCCTACTGCTATCGTTGCCACCACCACCGGAATCTCTAAACTCCGGAGCAAGGGGCACAAAGGACATGCTGCCAAGGATCATAGATGCGTGTCGACCAGACGCTCCAGCTGTAGATGCGTGCAGGGGCGTAGGTCGTCCCTCCTGCACGGCTGGTGGAAGTGCCCAAACCCGAAGGTGGCCGTCGCGGCCGACAACCATGCATGTGGAGACGTGGTGGATACCCATAAACCCATCAGATCAAATGGTATCGTCGCCCGCTGGATCCAGTGTCACTGAGATGCCTGAAGTAAACCCACGCGTGCTAGTAATAGCTTGGACCGAATTGACTGCGTTCGCTGTTGACGCTGCAGGCTTGTAATTAGCCCTCTTGCTTCCTCAGGGGCCCCAGGTGAAATTCAAGTCCGACTTTTCGCTGTGGCAAAATGGGAGTTTCTGAAAATTAGGGGCACCTTATTTAGGGGTCCTTATAATAAGGATCCTATTATTTAGGGTACTATATTAGGGTCCCCTATTTTCAGAAACCCCCAAATGCCAGTGGCGGCCATGTACCGGTTCCGACATGAAAGTGGCAGCCCAGCAAGGACTGCTCGGCAGATTGTGCGGCTTGTACATTTTCTGAGCTGTAGGGAGCTTGGCACTGAGCCCCATCTAGTTGCTCAGCTCAAAGCCAGGCTTGGGGCTGAACGTCCGTCTCCTTACAGGCTTCAAGGCCCTAAAAGAATGAGAATGTTTGGTTTCTGGCAAGGGGCCGCTGTGCTCGCTCTTCCCCCGGCTGAGAGTACTGGATGCCTGTCTGGCCCCTACCACCAGCCGAAAAGTTGCCTGGACCATCGGACTTAAACCGACCTCCCTCCACAAATTGGGCAAGCAACCCGGCCTGGGCCCACACAGTTCGGTCCAGTGGGATCGTCGACGCAGTCGCCAGCACTTCCTGCAAGGACTGTGGATCAAAAAACAACCGTAAGAAGTAGGGCCCCCCCGGCGTGCGAAGGCTGCTGCTACTGCAGGATCATGCTGCAACGGGCATGGGTGAGGGCTGGATGAAGATAACAATGGTGAATGTCCTGACGACATGGATGATGTGAGCAAGAGAAGGAGATCGCAGACACAGTCGTTGGCAGAGTGGAAGAGAAAAGTGCGTAACACTAGTGACAGCAAGGATAGGGGCGAGAGCAACATGAGCAACATCAGCAAAGACTGGTAGGTAGTGCTGATGGACTCTAATCATCGACATCGTGGTCATCACCACGCAAAATTGACAGTGCAGGTTTTGCTATTTTCTGTCAGGTGAGGCCGTAGAAGTAGGCTCTGTGTTTTCGACGCTCACACTCGGACAATCCAGGCGAGGCATATGGCCTGAGTCGGCAAGGTGAAACCGTAAGAGAGAGAGAGAGAGAGAGAGAGGGATCGCCCTCAAATCAAAAACAACCTCTCAAGCAATAGGACCTGCAAAAAGGGAGAACTGGACCGCCCGCACATGTTAGAGTACCTAATTTGGACTACTACACTCCGGCGGAAGATGAGGGGAATGAGGGGTCATGTACCGGGGCGAGTAGCCCGCAGGACAAGTTATGTGCTTCGCCGGGATCCATCTCTATTCCGCCAGGGCTTTAGGAATGATTTCTTGTGGTCTTGGGAATGCAAATCTAGATTCTATACATCTAGCTGAGCAGAACCGCGCTGTTGAAGCCTGAGCCTGGCACCTCTGAACCGCGACCGCAAGCTGTGATTGTAACTGCTCAACCAAGTATTGGGTCTAGGGTTCAGGGGTCAAGTATTGGGAGTTTCGGGTTTAACTGCAGCTGCGGCACGTCCAAAATCGCATAAAAACATCCTCAGCTGAGCAGAGACTGACTTAGACGGACCATACGAACAAAAACAAGTGCGCACACGTGTGTGTTGTTGTTGCTCTCTCCCTTTCGCATGTATACATACATACATACATACATACATACATACATACATCCACCCATGCATGCATACATACATACATACATACATGCATGCATACATGCATACATACATACATACATACATACATACATACATACACACACACACACATATATATATATATAAGTCTGTGTGGGCACACAAACACATACACAAGAGAACACGCTCACGTGCGTATCTACATATACACAAACGCATATGTTTGCATGTTTGTATGTATGAATGTACGGATAGGTATATACATACATACATATATATATATATATATCTCTCTCTCTCTCTATACGTGTATACATATATATATATATATGCATATATACACATACATACACGCTTTTGCAGTTTACTGTACAGTACACGCCATGCTTCGTGGCATGTGTAAGTTACCTGTTATGCTATACATGCTGCATGAGATGTGCCATGCCACTTCGCAATACTCGTTCATGCCCTAGAACAAACATGAATCAATCGCTTGAACACATCATGCCCAAACTCGTGTCCGCCTACGTACACTACTTCAGCATACAGACAAGACATGAAAACAACTGTGTGTATAGGTGTGTACGTATGATGTATAATGGGGGCACATTCTAAGGAACCGGAAGTAAGAGAATAATTAAGTAAACTGGCTTCTATGTGAACTACATTTATTAAACCAAAAAGCCTCTTACATCAATGCCAGACCTGACACAAAGAGCCACGTGGCACCAAGAATCGCAAAAGACCCCCTCATCTAGAACAGTTCTAGAACAATCTCCGTATCCTCGCTTTGGCAGATCCAATCACAGCTTCCTCCATCCTCTGACGCCGAGTAGCTGCCCTGCAAAGGCATCCCACACGAGCTCTTCCTTGGCAATCCTTGGTGGTCGATGGCACATGAGGCCTTCATCTGTTATCAAGCGATCACTGCATGGAGCAGGCCATGCTTGCATCACCGGAGTGAGATAGCTATGTAGCTCGGGAGAATGCGAAGAATTCATTAGGGGCCGCCATACGGCTTGCATGATTTTTTCCCGGGACTCGTCGTTCTCGCCGACAAGTTACAGCAGGTTATTTTATGCTTAGGTTGTTCTAGAGAAACCAACTTGAAGTAGGGAAACCAAGTTTGCGTCGAACTTGCTACAAGAATTGTCGCAAGAATTGAAGCCAGTGAAAAGTTAAAACATCCGAAACAATGAAACAATGTTTGAACCCGATTTAGGAGGGAATTTGAAGCCGCGGGTTCCAAAAACACCAAAAGCCTCTTAGGTTTTGGGACTTTGAGACAAAGACAGGAGACAAGAACAAGTTCGAGCCTAAGTCAGGAAACAATGACATACCAGACCTGACTCCCTCAACCGAGGTCTTGATGAATGCCAGCGGTCTCCCCAAGAGCAGTGCCCTGCTATAGACCACGAAACCTCATGTGGTTCCCTGAAGAAGCACGAAAAAAACCCCAAAGTTCTTGCTGGTGTGATCGTAGACGTCTCTGGGTTCCGGAAACTATGCCGGAAGCTTGGCTAAATCATAATCTCCAAGTCTGAAGCTTGTAACCGGTTGTTTCTCATGGACCAAGAAGCATGTACAGGATGAGGCCTTGGCAGATGTAGTTCACCTGAAAGGTGGGGTTTGTGGTGAAAACGGCTCAGATGCAAGAAAGACCATTGGAAAAAAGTGTGTCTTCAGGTCGGGTGCCCCACCTCAAGCCGGATAAGTTTCCTCTTTTATGTTGAATCCTCCCTACCGGTGTGACGTATCATCCGTGCATCAGTTGTGAAAAACTGCTGTTCTGACGACACACGCCTTCGGGAATCTTGACAAATTATGGGCGCAGAAGCTCTCATGTCGGCGATGAGCTTGAGACGCACGTAGCTGCTTTCGCCGATGCGGACAACAAGCACCCGAGAACCCCAGAGCACAAACCCTCATCCGTGAACCCTCCTTGCAAGCCTCAGCCTTCAACTCTGACTGTGGCAAAAGCTAGACCATCTTGCGCAAGCCATTTATAATCCCGAAGCTCTCAGAGCACTGCCTAGACATCCGACGCCTCTGTCAAGATCCACTTCTCTATCGCATGGTTTTGCCATGTGGAAGTCATCGGGCTAGAGGCTTACAAGGTAGAGCTGATGTAAGGCGAGAGCCAACGGGGCTCAGTACACTCAGAGAGCAGGGTCGAGTCGGGAGTGAATGTATCTTGTGTTGCTATCCCCCGCAGAACACGGAGTCACCTCAAAGCATGTGTGAAGCCTAATGTGAGCAATGATGCAGGGATTCGTGAAACAGTGCTAGGTCACTCCTGCGACGAAATCTTCTCATCGTCATCAACACGGATACTCTACCTTCACATATTCTTGAGAGCATCGATGAGCTGAAACTTCAAAGGCGGCTCAAACTTTGTCCGCTCTCCAAATCACCAGAACCGATACCCGGCCATGCAGTCCCGGGCACTACAAGAAAGGTGTAACAGCGGATGCACAAGATCACGAGGTTCTTGGGGTAGCCTGCAGAACCTGGCTCAGAAGCAAGGGAGGGCCGACCGGAGAAACACGGAATGTCCAACATGCCGGGCAGGCGCGCGAGCTGGGGCATCAGCAAAGCCGAGCCATAGAGCCCTTTGTCCACCCTGGTGCCGTGATTTACGAATAGTAGCAGAAGTAATAGAAGTAGTAGTAGTCGTCGTCGTAGTAGTAGTAGTAGTAGTACTAGTAGTAGTGGTAGTAGTAGTACTAGTAGTAGTAGTAGCAGTAGTAGCAGTAGTAGTAGTAGT